ATGATGCTGGTGATTGGTATAAATTGTACATCACTGTACTGAGAACAATCTTGATACCCATTGGTGGACAAAAAAGTACAGTTTTTAGCTCTACTGATCAAAGACCAGAAGAGCTTATGCGATAGTAATGCGTCCGTCGCCCATCCATCTGTCTGTCTGTAAACAATTTTTCAAAATGCTACGTCTATTACAGTTTTGGTCTGATTTCAATATAACCTGGCACACAAGTAGACTACACTAAGATACATAATTCTGTGTATCGGTTTTTGAATTTCAATGAACGGTGTTGCCTTTGTTACTAAAAATAGAAATTTCTGTGAAATACTTTCAAAAATGCTACTCCAAATACAGTTTGAGTCTGATTATAATATAATTTGGCATGCAAGTAGACTACACTGAGATACATTATCAGTTATGTGTTTTTGATTTTGATGATTGATGTTGCCATCGTAATTTAAATTGAAAATTCTGTAAAATTTTATTAAAAGCTACTCCTACAGTTGTAGTCTTATTGCAATCTTTCCACAAAAAGAGACTTAATCGAGGATCATTAATCTACTTATTACTTTTGTAAAGTTTTATGTCCCAGCTGCTACTTTTCTCATCCTTTATTATAAGTCGACAAAACAGTAGAGCTACAGTCTCGACAGAGACTTCTGGTTTCTTTAGAATATTGCATTGGAATAATAAAACTGGATTTGATTTGATTTAATATGATTAATCAATTCATGAGTGTAACGTGCGGATGTGCTAACTGGACTGTCTTCAACAAGTCAAGAACTCCATTGAAAGTTTATAAATTTATTTTACAGGACACAGAAACAAAACAATACTGTTCAACATTTCATAAAATCTCTGGTGTTTCACAAATTCATAAAAAACCTCTATAACTGGAGTCTTATCCAGTAATTAAATATTTCATGTGCAAGTCTAACTCTCTTAGACCTATTAAAATCATAAGTTTAATCCTAAACTGGTAATGAACCAGTAATCATGAAAAATCTACACCAGTAAAATACTGGTAAATAAATATTATTCAATCTCTGAATAAAGCTTTCCCCCACACCACTTAATACTATCAAATTATTTAACCCAAAGAACTAAATTAATCACACACCCTGATACAGTGGTGTAATCTGCTGTCTGTAATCTAATCTACTGTCTGCAACTCTCGTTCTTACTATATATACGTCATGAAATACTACGAAATGACGTAAAATACGATAACCAATCAGAAACATCGCGCACCTGATCATCAACCAATCACAGGCGATACGCGATAACCTTATTCCCACGACTACAAAAAGTTGTGTACATGTTTCACCATAAAATAGAAACAGGTAAATGATTATAACTACTTTATACACAAAATAACTTTCGTAATAATTAAAGAAGATTGACATACAATTAATTAAATAAATCGCCGCTTACAACTTTTAACATTTTTAGCTCTTCTGAGCCAAAGGCTCAAAGAGCTAATGCTATGGCCATTTGTGCGGTGTGCGTCGTGCGGTGTGCGTTAACTTTTTAGAATATGGGCCATAACTCAAGAACCCCTTGGCCAATCCGTGTCAAATTTGTCACAGGGTATCCTTGGCCCAAGGGCTACCATTTATACTAAAATAAGGGTTGGGACCCTGAAACAAGGGGAGATAATCAGGAAAACAAAACCAAAAGTACTGGTTGCTAAAAAATCTTCTTCTCCAGAACCACCAGGCAGATTTTCACCAAATTTACATACAAGGATCAGGATATGTTGAAGATTAAAATTTGTTCAAGGCATGACCCTGGGGCAAAGGGCGTGGTCTCAAGGTCACTTTAAAGTTGACCTAAATTTACAATTAATAAAAATGTTCATATTTTGCTTACTATAAGGACTAGGATCATCAAATCTTGTAAGTTGATGCATCTTAGGACTTCACATCATGTTAACTCAAAAGTAGGTCACGGTGACCTACTTTTTAAATTTTGCGGGCATTTGTTTTCAAATTGATTTAAAGGCATATTTTGGATACTTTAAGGCCTATGATCATCAAACTTAGTCAGTTGATGCATCTTGGGTCCTTGAACAACGTCAACTTAAAAGTAGGTCACCGTGCCCTACTTTTTGAACTTTATGACTTATCCTTTTTAAAACATTTAATCCCATTATTTCAGGCACTGAAAGGGTTAGAATCATCAAATCTTGTAAGTTGCTGCATCATGGGACCTTAAAACATATTTAAGAAAAAGTAGGTCACTGTGACCTACTTTTAGAATTTTGCAGGCATTTGTTTTCAAATTGTTTAAAAGCCATATTTTGATTACCTTCAAACCTACGATCATCAAACTTGGTCAGGAGATGCATCTTGGGACTCTGAAAAATGTCGACCAAAATGTAGGTCACGGTGACCTACTTTTGACATTTTATGGCTATATTTAAGTATCTTAGGTATTTATTGGCTTAGAATCATCAAACTTTGTGAGTTGAAGCATCTTGGGTTTTCGGAGAATGTCGACCAAAAAGTAGGTCACGGTGACCTACTTTTGACATTTTATGGCTATATTTATGTATCTCCAGTACTTATTGGCTTAGAATCATCAAACTTTGTCAGTTGATGCATCTTGGGTTTTCTGAGAATGTCGACCAAAAAGTAGGTCATGGTGACCTACTTTTGACATTTTATGGCTATATTTATGTATCTCTAGTACTTATTGGTTTAGAACCATCATACTTTGTCAGTTGATGCATCTTTAGTTTTCGGAGAATTTCAACCAAAAAGTAGGTCATGGTGACCTACTTTTGAATATCTCAGGTATTTATTGACTTAGAATTATCAAACTTGGTCAGCAGATGCATCTTGGGACTCTAAAAAATGTCAACCAAAATGTAGGTCACAATGACCTACTTTCAACATTTTATAGCTATATTTAAGTATTCTCCGGTACTTATTGGCTTAGAATCATCAAACTTTGTCAGTTGATGCATCTTGGTTTTTTTTCGGAGAATGTTGACCAAAAAGTAGGTCACGGTGACCTACTTTTGACATTTTATGGCTATTTTTATGTATCTCTAGTACTTATCGATTTAGAATCATCATACTTTGTCAGTTGATGCATCTTTGGTTTTCGGAGAATGTCGACCTAAGAGTAGGTCATGGTGACCTACTTTTGAATATATCAGGTATTTAATGGCTTAGAATTATCAAACTTGTTCAGCAGATGCATCTTGGGACTCTAAAAAATGTCAACCAAAATGTAGGTCACAATGACCTACTTTCGACATTTTATGGCTATATTTAAGTATCCCTGGTACTTATTGATTAAGAATCATCATACTTTGTCAGTTGATGCATCTTGAGTTTTCTGAGAATGTTGACTAAAGAGTAGGTCACAGTGACCTACTTTTGAATATCTCAGGTATTTATTGGCTTAGAATTATCAAACTTAGTCAGCAGATGCATCTTGGGACTCTGAAAAATGTTGACTAAAATGTAGACATTTTATGGCTATATTTAAGTATTTTAGGTATTTATTGGCTTAGAATAATCAAACTTTGTCACTTGATGCATTTTGTGATTTCCAAGAATGTAGACCAAAAAGTAGTTCTAATTGGCTAAGAATCATCAAACTTTGTCAGGTGATGCAACTTGGGTCTTTAATAGGATACTTAGGGTTAGAGGCTTCAAATACAAGTGATAGGTTGTACAATTTATCAGAAGAGCGATTCAAGGCCCTTGGGCCTCTTGTATGAAAAATGCATTCTGGGAAACCGCACTTCCGGAATAACAAACCATGCGGCGAAAGAGAAAACATACCAGGTAACAATTTACCGAATAATCACTAAACAAACACTGTTTTAATTATGTGATCATGTATACAATATAGGAAGCGATAGATAACAATTAATCTAACATCATAACAACATTAAAATCTCGAAAAGCAAAGAAAATAACGTATGCGGCAATACACATCGTCTGACAGAATTCGGGGGTCGTATCAAAACACAATGCACACAAAAAAAATGTATTCAAGTAATACAGTTAAAACTTCGTGATTATAATATCGCTGTCACTACATTTGTCACAATGAGCAACAAATCAATTTACCAAGAGTGAGATGAAAGCTGTGTTTAGTTTTCCCATAATCTGTCAGGAAAAAATGTGGTTCAAGGGAAATAACTCTGACTCATATATATCAGAAATATTATTTACAGACCAGTTTTTAACAACATTTCTTCAGTAACTGTTTATATTTACTTCAACAGTCATCACACTTATAAGTAAAGGTCTAAGTTATAGGACTGAAGCTCTCAGGGAAATAAAACTCAGACAGAGTTACCAGAAACCACATACCCGGGGTAGCCCGACTTTTATACAACTGTCATCTGATTTAAGGTGTCGGTGTCACACTATTTATCACAAGATACATCATTGTTTCCGTTTATCATACACCACTCATAAAAATAACCACCCAACCCCCCACCCTGATAAATTTTTTTTGGAGGGGATACATGGAGAAAACCATTGGTCTACTATAGGCTTATGAAAGATCATAGGATCTGTCTATGCATCTCTCTTTATACTCCTGTTTGAACCATGACTCTGTCGTATGACCTATGACCTGAGGATGTGTCAGGATGTTGATTAAAAGTCCTTGTAAAAGTTCAAGGTCATAGGAGAATAATATTTTACTTTATTCTACAGACACTGTTTTCTGTTAGCAAGTGATGAGGAGAAGATATTTTAAAATTTAACTGTATTTTACAGAAAATTTAGTATACTAATAATTGTTCCTAGGTAATTAAAGCACTTTAAAGATATCTTTCTGGGTATTCTAAGAATATGAAATTAGTATACCGGTAATTTAAATCTTACATATATTATACCTTCTCTTTGACTAGGTTGTGCAGGAATATGAGAGAGCAGTCATTTTCAGACTCGGTCGGTTGATTGCAGGGGGTGCAAAAGGACCAGGTAATTATAGAGGAGAATGAACATTATCTTCATGATTGTGATTTAATTATTTATCTTACACAACAAATCATTTAAAATAAAACAAGTTATCTCAATCAAATTACTAATAGTTACTTATGAGAGATCAAAATTGAAAGAAGTTGCAAATGAAAGTTGGTTTTAAGAGAGAAAGCAGTAGTACTGTGAAATGGGTAACATACAGAATTTACAAGCTAGTATCTGGTATTTCTTACTTATATGTTTTTATGATTTCTAATAGAATATAATAGAATATAATTTTATTTTATTTATACTAAAGTTTTCTAATTCCATCAGTATTTTTTTAAATATCATATTTCAAATTGGAAGTTGATTAAAAATAGGCTCCATCTACATACCCACCCACCCATTTTTTTTCTTGAGGAAATCCAGTGTGTTATGTTTTTATCTCTGAGCCTTGGCGGGAATAACATGTATACAATGATTGGATAAAATTCATATCCAACCACAAATTACAAGAGGTTCATTTTATCCCATGATTTTTTAACATAACTTTCAATATCTATGCCCCCTTCAAAGAAGGGAAGGCATATTGCTTTTTGCTGTTGGTTGGTCTGTTGTTCATTTTCTTTGCAGAGGTTGCACATGTTGAAATTTGGTATATACCGTAGATTTATCATGAAAATATCTAGGTCAAGTTCTGTTTTGGGTACGATTGAATCATTCTTGACAGAGTTATGTCCCTTGGACTTAGAAAAATTCTAATTATTTGGGGAGGGGGCATAAGTGTTTTACAAACATCTTACATGGTTTTATTTATGAATCAACATTATTAGCTCTTCTTAGGAGCCAAAGGCTCAAAGAGCTAATGCTATGGCCATTTGTGCGGTGTGCGTCGTGCGGTGTGCGTTAACTTTTTAGAATATTGGCCATAACTCAAGAACCTCTTGGCCAATTATTGTCAAATTTGTCACAGCGTATCCTTGGCCCAAGGGCTACCATTTAAGGGTGAAACGTTTACTGAATTTTGTAAACGTTTAAACAGATAGCAGTAAACGAAACGGTACCATTTAAACGGGAAATATTCTACAGTACCGACCAGACCCAACCTGACACAAAGCAGTCCCAGAGCAGTCCCGGGGACTGCTTTCTGGGACTGCTAAAGCAGTCCCACAGCGGTCCCAGAGCAGTCCCACAGCGGTCCCAGAGCAGTCCCACAGCAGTCCCAGAGCGGTCCCAGCAGTCCCAGCGGTCCCAGAGAGCAGTCCCAGCAGTCCCAGAAAGCAGTCCCAGCAGTCCCAGTGGGCGGGGTTTATTAATTTAATGGGCGGAGCTAACTCAGAAATGAGATTTCCAATAAACAATGGAACTATAAAAGGCAGTAGGAATTGATTCTGTGTAGTATGCCAGGAATCCTTACATGTATGCGAAGGTCATTTATGAACAGAACATGTACGCGCATAAAAATTGAAATAATTATTAATAATATTTATTGGAGGAAGAAGGCTTTCACACTTACATGTACATATATGTATTACACTGAACATGAATATTTAATCACAATTCTTGGGTATATTAATGACTCTTCTGTGATTGATACTGGTTCCCATATTTATTTTTTATACAGAAAATTAAACGTAAATTAAATATTTTCCACCAGAAGAAGCTTTAGATCTAAATAGATCTTATCATTATATGGCCATTTTAGACTATCGGGATACACTAAAGTTAGAGTTTTCTTAAGTATTGGGGCTTGTAAAAAAAATCCTTGTTAATTTTGCCAAGTATTAATTTTCAGTCATGATTATTTTTACTGACATGTCAATTTAATTATCGTTAATGCCGAGATCTATAAAACTCAGTTTTAAGTGTTTTATTTGTAAATGTTAGAGTGTACATCTGTAAATCACCAGAATGGAAGATTCAGATTATGTTCAAATTTAATTAATCCCGAAAGAAATTTAAACACAATTCGTTTATCACTTTTTTCGCATTAAATAAATTGAAATTAGGGTCATTGTTTACCAGCATGTTCAATGATGTGTAACACTGATACATATACCCAAATAACAGTATCGATTTTTCTGCCCAAAGGCGATTGAAACGGTGGGTGTTGATACCATCTTATAAACATTAATCGGCCAGGTAAACACTAGCAAAACAAAAAAGAAATAAATCACAATTCCCGGTATTTTCATTTTTTTTTAAAATAAATATTATAGATGTACTCTTTTAATAACTTGTTTATTAATTAAAAGCTACCGGTAATTCATTAATTCCCCAATGATTATTCACATAGTTTTTGTTACGGGAGAATAGTAGCATAAGTTTATTTCATGGTCATTTAATAAATTGTTGGGTTTTATTTGAGGGTTACATGGAATAGTCTTTTTTTAGCGTGGTCCTTATAAAATGTGTAGCATTTTTAATAAAAAACATTTTATATCTAACTGTAATGATTATTTTTAATTAGTACCAATGCAAATTTTGAGTACATATTCAAATTTAACATTAAATAATTAAAAAAAGGCCCACATGTAGCTATTTTTTTCTCATAAACTTGTAGTTTATTTTTAGGGATAAAAATTTTATCATGAATTCCTTATTTATCAACTCTATTTTTTTTTATTTATTCTAAATTCACATTAATTTGTGTAAATATACAGTCCCTGAAAATATCAATTAACTATAATAATCTCTACTTATTAAAAGAATGTAAGAAATCCTTGGTTATTAAACAGTTTAAACTCCTCTCTGCTGCAAGTAAACAAAACAACAGGGAGCCTGCAAATTCAGAATACACAAGGGGGCGGAGCTATCATGTCACTCAGAACCTTTTTCACACATGAGTGAACAAAGCAGTCCCAGAAAGCAGTCCCAGGGGCAGCTGGGACTGCTTTTCATAGCAGTCCCAGAGCAGTCCCATAGCAGTCCCAGAGCAGTCCCACAGCGGTCCCAGAGCATTTCCACAGCAGTCCCAGAGCGGTCCTAAAGCAGTCCCGGGGACTGCTTTCTGGGACTGCTTTGGTGTCAGGTTGGGTCTGGTCGGTACTGTATGTTGGATTTTTATGGCTACTCATTCATGAAACTCGAATTTAATAATCAATTCTTTCACTTTAATATAAGTATGAGCTGTTATTACAAATTTATTGTTGGTCATTGTGATTAAACCGTAAGAATTTGAGGCGCATTAAATTCATTCACTTACGACCTCGTCACCCAACTCAGCAACTGCTTGGTTTATTTGGTTACCGGACGTAGAAAAAATAATTGTAAAGATGGATCTTTTAATCTCGAAAAAAGTAAAACAGGACCTGCTGAATGTATTGAAACTTTTCAAAGACATGTGAAAAATGTATTATATTTATTTAATCAAAATATATCAAGTTTTATATTTCAAGTGTCGTAAAACATCGCTAGTATTAGCAACTCGGAAATCGGAATTAATTATGTTAGCCCGTATCGGGTTTTAGATATTTTCATTCAATATGTTTCCGGTTTAGATTGTTGCTTATCAAATGGCCAAAGATGGTGTTTCTTTTGTAAATTATGAAATAAAACAATTTTTTTTGTGTTAAACTTTATTTCTGATAGACATTGATAATGACCTTCGTGTAAACGTTTACTCAAACTGTAAACGTTTAGAGCATATAATCGAAACGTCGCCGTTTACACGTGTAATCGTTTCGCCCTTACTACCATTTGTACTAAAACTAGGGGTAGGACCCTAAAACAAGGGGAGATAATCACGAAAATAAAACCAAAAGTACTGGTTGCTAATAAATCTTCTTCTCCAGAACCACCAGGCAGATTTTCACCAAACTTATATACAAGGGTCGGGATATGTTGAAGATTAAAAATTGTTCAAGGCTTGACCCTGGGGCAAAGGGCGTGGTCTCAAGGTCACTTCAAAGTTGACCAAAATTTACACTTATTAAAAACGTTGATATTTTGCTTACTATAAAGACTTGGATCATCAAATCTTGTAAGGTGATGCATCTCAGGACTTGACATCATGTTAATGCAAAAGTATGTCACGGTGACCTACTTTTAACTTTTGGGGGCATTTGTTTTCATTGAAGGCTTATTTTGGACACTTTAAGGCCTATGATCATAAAACTTTGTCAGTTGGTGCATCTTGGGTCCACAAACAACATCAACTTAAAAGTAGGTCACCATGACCTACTTTTTGATTTTTTTGGCTAATCTTTTCTAAAACATTTAATCCCATTATTTCAGACACCGATAGATTTAGAATCACCAAATCTTGTAAGTTGATGCATCTTTGGGCCTTAAAACATATTTATCAAAAAGTAGGTCACTGTGACCTACTTTTTGAACTTTGCAGGCATTTGTTTTCAAATTGTTTAAAAGGCATATTTTGAATACTATAAGACATATGATCATCAAATTTTGTCAGTTAATGCATCTTTGATCTTCAGAAAATGTCGACCAAAAAGTAGGTCACTGTGACCTACTTTCGACATTTTATGGCTAGATTTAAGTATCTCGGGTACTAATTGGCTTAGAGTCATCAAAATTTGTCAGTTGATGCATCTTGGGTTTTCGGAGATTAACGACCAAAAAGTAGGTCATGGTGACCTACTTTTGACATTTTATGTCTATATTTAAGTATCTCAGGTACTTGTTGGCTTAGAATCATCAAACTTTGTCAGTAGATGCATCTTGGGTTTTCGGAGGATGTCGACCAAAAAGTAGGTCACAGTGACCTACTTTTGACATTTTATGGCTAGTTTTATATATCTCAGGTACTATTTGGTCTAGAATCATCAAACTTTGTCATTCGATACATCTTAGGTTTTCCAAGCATATTGATCAAAAAGTAGGTCATGGTGACCTACTTTTGAATACTCAGGTATTGACTGGCTTAGAATCATCAAACATTGTCAGTAGATGCATCTTGGGTTTTCTGAGAATGTCGACCAAAAAGTAGGTCACGGTGACCTACTTTTGACATTTTATGGCTATATTTAAGTATTTCAGGTACTTATTTGGTTTAGAATCATCAAACTTTCTTATTTGATGCATCTTGGGTTCTCGGAGAATGATGATCAAAAACTAGGTCATGGTGACCTGCTTGTGACATTTTATGGCTATATTCGAGTATTCTATGGTACTTATTGGCTTAGAATTGTCAAACTTTGTCAGTTGATGCACCTTGGGTTTTCGGAGAATGTTGATCAATAAGTAGGTCACTGTGACCCACTTTTGAATATATCAAGTACTTATTGGCTTATTATCATCAATCTTTGTCAATTATTCCATATTGTGTCCTCAGAAAATTTCAATCAAAAAATAGGTCACCATGACCTGCTTATAGTATTTTATAGTTACATTTAAATATCTTCAGCCCTAACTGGCTAAGAATCATCAAACTTTGCCAGTTGTTGCATCTTAGGTCTTAGGATAGATTGTATGATTTATCAGAAGAGCGATTCGAGGCCCTTGGGCCTCTTGTTTTATGTCATCACTTTCATGCAAAAACATTTTGATGTCACAAAAGTGGTACGTGGAAAAATATCCAGTTTGCATGAGTGAACAAAGTGATTGCATGGGATAAAAAAAGGGGGGGGGATGTGTGATAAAAGGGTAATCAGTATGGAGTAAAAAACACTATAATATACATGTTACTATTATGATCAAGAAGCAAATCAATTTTTGTACTTCAGTAAAGAAGTAGCCTGTTTGAATCAAACTAAATTTTTGTATTCATTAGGTTTGTTTTTCATCATCCCCTGCATCGACTCTTACACCAAAGTGGACATCAGAACCGTGTCATTCGATGTTCCTCCTCAGGAGGTAAGACGTGTATCTAATGATGGACCTTATCTTACGGTAGTCTGATCCCCAGGTTCTAAAAATCAAGTATTGAAAGATTGAAAATACAATGTATATACTCACAAAAGTGTCTCAGAATTATCTCCCCTCAGAGTAAGTTTGCAGGAAATGCAAATAAAAACGCTTGTTCTGCATTTTGTATTTGGAAATTGATCAACCAATTTATTTTAGGATGAAAAGGCTTTGGTGTCACAGCATTTGGAGAAAATCATGTTTTGATACTTATATAGTATTATATATCTTCTATTTATTACTTCAATTGTTTTACAATTAATACTAATACCTGACATAAAAAGCTTTTTTTAGTATATCTACTTCAGACGTAACATGCCAGCCATGAAGTTTTACTGTTTATATTGGAAATAATGATGATTTCAGATGGAAAGGAGTTTCATAGAAAAATCTCAATGTCCTTTCCTGCTAGAAATAATTTGGCTAGGAAAAAAATGTATCAAATAATCAGTATCTTGTACACTTTCACTAATGAGAAATGTATCAGTAATTTTATCATAAATGTTCTATCATATTCATCAGCAAAAGTGCTTAGTCCTGATTTGGATAAAAGCTTTGGGCTGATTTCAACCCCTCAGTGGTATTAAAGCATGGAAATGCAGATATTGATTTCCAAGATATCACAGCGTCATTACAGTATAATTTGAAAACTTGTTTGCTTTGGATATAGGAAATGGTTGATGAGAATTCACAGATTTATATCCCAGTAGAAATGTTTTGTTCATAAAAAAACTTGGAATGTCTTCCAATTTGACAGCATCGAGATTAATTTTGGCTAGGCCTATTGCTTTTTCAGTTCTGCACTTAAAACTATCAATTTGTTTTCCAATGAACTTGCTGCCAGCTATGACATGTTTTTGTTAAATTTTTTCCCCAACAGATTTTTGGGATAAGATGTATATGAATAAGAAAAAAGGCTTGTTTAGTTATATTTTTATTTCCGTAGAACTGTGCAGATAGCAAAAGAACATCTTAGTGACTCAGGTGACCTAAAAATGTAGTCCAAAAAAAAATTGTAACAAGCATATACAGTTGAACTTTGGTATATCGATAATTGATATCGATATCCAAAATACCATGGGTATGTCAAAATGATTTGGTAGTCCCAAAAGTAGTGAATTTCAAATGTATATACATGTACGTACTTAAATAATATAATGCCATTTTCTAATTTTTGAATTATAATTAAGATATTGAAATTCTTTTTAACCTCAGCTACTGGAAAAACTGTCAGTTTTGTCCTATCTATTTATTCCATCATTACACTGGGTATATCAGAGTTTATTTTCCTGGAATTTAAAAAAAAAATTGCCTGGGGATTATCAAATACTTTGCCAACATCCTTAACTTTACTTTGTCTGTTTAAATAATAACTAAGTTTTACTGTAGATACTGTCTCAGGACTAAATTAGATTTTGTAATTAGGTTCTGACGAAGGACTCTGTGACAGTAGCTGTTGATGCTGTGGTGTACTACCGCGTCCAGAACGCCACCATGTCAATTACAAACGTGGAGGATGCCAACCGATCTACACGTCTGCTGGCTGCCACCACACTGAGAAACGTTCTGGGGACCAAGAATCTCAGTGAAATTCTGTCCGAAAGGGAGACAATCAGTCACTATATGCAGGTAATGGTCATTTCAGTGGTCCTTATGTTTTTCATTTATGTCTATAAAATACCTATATACTGTATTCAAAACTGCAGATATTTAAGTTTGAAACTCTACAAATTGCATTGTACATGTAAAATATTAATGTGCATCTTATAAGTATCTGATCATTATTGTCTGTCGTCAGATTCTGTATATTTAGTTCTCCAAAACGTTAACTTTTTATGTGGACGTCTGATAAATGAACCTTTAGTCCTGGTACAGTTGGATTGTTGTTATACGTTGACTTGTAAAACATTGAATTCAGTTATTGCCATAACTGTCCTTGAGCTTTGTGAATATGTTTCATATTTTTTTAATGCAGAGTAAGAATTTTCTTCAGAAAATTGTCAGCAAAATGGGCGAACTATAAATGTGTCCCCCAAAATCCCACCCGCCATTTCATCACTGCTTCTCTTCTGGCTTAACACTACAATCGGTCTCCATCTCAAAAAGCCACCAGTTCACTGTGTACTACGTTTTATTTAATAGTAAAATATATAACAAAGTTGATACGTTGCCAGATTAAAGTTTTATATTGTTTACTGTACAGTTTTATCACTATAATTTTTAGTGCTTTTCTGGCATCAAGGCTTTCAAAGTCTGCAGAATTTTTTGGCCCTTGGGCCTCTGTGATTTATTAATTTTCTTCAGACACTCCCTATAATGCTTACATAATTACATGTATGAAGAAGCCTAATTTTTCTTGGTTGAGGTGGACTTACTGATTTTGTTGACAGGGTAATTTAGATGAGTGTACAGACCCCTGGGGTATCCGGGTAGAGAGGGTGGAAATGTAAGTAGGATCTGAAGTCGTTTTTCTTCCTCCTAATTTTCTACAGCATGTTGTAGCTCCAATCTGTGTTAATTAGGGCTTTCCACCTTTCTGTGGAAAGACCTCTTGAAATGCTTATGTTTATTATTATTATTATTATTTTTCTTCCCGGACTTTTGAAACCGCAAGTCTTATCGAAAAACCTTATAGTTCATGATATTGGGTATTTAAAGTTATTCCGAAAAACGACCCCCCGTGTTTAATCTTTGACCCCTTTCAAAGTTATTGCCCCTTTCGCAAGAAATGCTTGTTATCGCTACTCCTTTGAAACCGTAAACCGTAGAGGTATGAAACTTTCACCAATGTCTTCCACTAATTGAGAGGAGTCTGGAATCTATTCATTGCAAAAGTATTCGGTGACTACTTCAATGAGTTATTGCCCCTGAAAGTTTTAAAGTTTACAAAAAAATTAAAAACTTTTAAATGACAAGTGGTAAAGTTATAGGACCAAGTGCATGAGATCTAATGACCTTTGACCTCGAAAAGTAGGTCAAGGTCAAAGGTCAAGGTCATTGGAAAACTAGAATAATTGTCAATTTAAGCTTAAAATCCAAATGACCTTGACCTTTGACCTTGTTTTTTGACATTGACCTTGACCTCTGACCTTGACACTTACTCAAAAGGTAATAAAGAAATATTCATTACCTTTATCTAGATTCAGCTTCAAGTGTTAATCTCAAGTTTACCTCTCTCTCTCTCTCTCTCTCTCTCTCTCTGATGACCTTGACCTTTGACCTTGATAAATGACCTTGACCTTTGACCCATTGACCCAAAGGTTACAATCAAGCTAAAGGTCGTGGAGTTATTTACAACCATCACTCTAACTAATGCTTATAAAATACGCCCCCCCCCCCACCCTCAAAAAAAAAATCAACACCAACTTAGAGAAAATGTCTACAAGTCAAACGAAACAAAATATCGACATAAGATTCGTAATAAAAGGAAGAAGAGACCTGAAAG